TTGTCTGTTAATAGTAAGTTCAAGAGATGAACAAGAAAACACATGGAAGGATGAAAGGCTTTCAGATGGGTTACAGAATATCCAACAGAAACTTAGAATCATAGAATAGCTTGGATTGGAAGAGATGTTAAAGATCAACTAGTTCCAACTCCCCTGTTGTGAGCAGGGATGTGTCCCACTAGACCTAGTTGCATGAGGCCCCATCCAACCTAGTCTTGGAACTCTTCAGTGATGGAGCATCCACAGCTTCCCTGGGCAACCTGTTCCAATGCCTCACCACTCTCATTGTGAAGAATTCTTCCTTACATCTAATTCTAAGTCTACCCTCTTCCACTTTGAAGTCATTGCTCCTTGCCTTATCCCTACAAGAGCCTGTAAAAAGTCCCTCCTCAACTTTTTGGTAGGTCCATCTTGGATGTAGGTGTGGGTTTTTTTTTTTCCCTCTCTCTATTTGAGCACACTAATCCTAGTATTACTTGTTATTGAACAGAATTTGAGTTGATAAATAGCCATGATTTTGAATAGCAAGGGAAAAAAAGGGGAGGGATTATAATTTCCAAGGTCAAGAAAAGTATTTGTGTTGGTTTTCAGTTATATTAACTGAAATTTTGTTTGCTGGTTTTCTGGCTTAATTTGCAAATTTAAATAACAGTCTTGAAACCAAGATTTCACTTATGTTCTAGTGCAGTTTCACTAATTATAATTTTTTTCTGTTATCTTGACTGTGCTGCCTTAACTCTCTAGTGGAAAGTTTTGTCTTATTTTTCTTTCCCCTTCAACTGTATGTCAGAAACAAGTTCTTCAATGGTGTCAGCTGTTGTTTGATTACACTTCTTGGACTTTTTTGTTCCTTGCGTTTTCTTTGTTTCCTTGGTCAAGCTTTATATTAAAAACAACCTGTCATGTGATTTTGTTATTACTCGTGAGCATTAGGCATGACTTACAGTTGCATTACCTCAGTGTAGCCCTTTCTATTCAGCAACCTTGTATGTATTCTTACCATACCGGAGATTGTTACGGGAAACGTGGCATGAACACAAACCTGTCAGCCTCATGTATTCGTGGTTGGAAAATGTGGGCAGGGAAGATAGAACAGTACTAGGAAGGTCATGAGATGTTAGTCTAATTAGCATGGTTTTGGCAGAGGAAAATTGCATCATGCTGATCTGAGAACTCTTTGAACTCGTCATTGTTGCAGACAAAGGAGAAAATAAAAAGAATAAATTAGAGTTTTCAAAATGCTTTTGACAAATTCTCATCCAAGAGGATGTTGAACAAGCTGAGGAAGTTGTGGGATGAAAGTAATGGGTTTGTTTGTGTAAAAGGCCTAAGTGAAAAAGAAAAAAGTTTTTAATCTTGGTGAAGGTAAGCTCAAGAGTCCAGAAGCTGCACTTGAGGTATTCTTTAATGATCAGGATAGCAGCTGGCTAGTATGGTACTGACACTTTCACAGGTGACACAAGTAAGGACCAAACTTTTAATGAAAACCAAAACAGGCTGAGTGATTGGACAGCACAGGGATGGTTTGGCTTTTAATGAGAATAAGTATAAAGCAATGTGTATAGAAAGAATGTAACCTACCTGTGTCTTACAGAGCTTTACATGGATTCAGAAAGAGTCTTGGGCATCTGTGTCAGGTTGAAGACAAGTCTGTGTGCAGCTGGGTTTTAACAATAAGATACAGTGACAGTATAGAAACTTGCTGCTGGTCTTTCCCAAGTGCAGAATTGGTTAAGTTTCAAGAAGTGGTTCCATCTGTATGTATCCATATGCCAGGATTATTGATTGTGTAAGGATGTCTGGGGAAGAGAAACGAAATGCTCTGGCTTTAAACATAAGCTATTGGAGGGCAAGATAGGATCTAACGTAGAGGATGAACTTGAATTTTGCACCTTCTTGGATGTCTGACGTTGGACATCAAAATCAGAGAAAATAGTTTTTATACTGGAAATTTTAATGTGGAAATCATGGGGTAGTCTAGCTTAAGAAGGTTGGATGAAACCACCAAACCCTTGTTTCCTACCCCAGGCAAGAATAGTTGTTTTCTACATTAAAATTCGCTTTTATAATTGGATAAACACTCCAAATGTGTCTTGCTTTCTTCCTAGTACTTTTAAGTGACAAAATAATGTTTTAAACCAGAACTTCATGAATTTTTTCTGGTTTACATTTAGGCTGTTAAGCAGTTGTATCGAGTGTCTTTGGTTTTGTCTTTTTTTTTCTTTTTTAACATTAAAACAAACAAACAAACTGGTCTTTACAAAGTGTATTTGGCTACCAGTTACTGCTGGTGCTTCTGAGAAAACAGTTTGTGATGTGTCTTAAATCAGGTCTGCTAGGTGAATTTGAGAGATTGTAAAATAAACATGGCAATGTATTTGCTTTGACAAGATCATGTAATTCTTGTTATTCCTCCAAACCGTTTGACAGAAGCCTGAAAGCTAGAAATTGTACTTAGAAACACCAACAGGGATCAGGATTGGAAATTATTTTACTGTTATGAGGTTTCTTACATAAATCTTGCTCTGTATTCTTGTAGTATGTGTCTTAAATATATTCGTGTCTACTTCTCACAAGCTCTGTATGCATGTGGAAACTTTAAGGTATCTTTTAGAAATTCCCCTTGTTTCCTATATTTTTTGGAAATAAAGCACCCTTATGGGTCAGTGATATCAATATTTAAACTTATTTATTAAGGCAATAGTTGAACGGATAAATGTAGAGGTAGGATTCTTCTCTTGTCTTTTTCATTCATTTTCTTGAGTATAATACAGAAGGTTCACTGTAGTGGTGTGGGTAGAACACTTTCTGCAAGAGAGACATTTCTTTTGAATTTTTTATATATATGGAAATGTAGTGCTGCCTGTCCAGGGGTGTGTCTCTCTTGCACTGCTTTAGAGAAAGCCTTTGTTTCTTCAGTGACTCTCTTTGCTAATGAGCCGAGGCAGTGTACCATGTTAACCTCTGTGTACTCTTTCCAGTGTCTAGTGCCTTCTGCATGGTGTAATGTGGAGATTGCTTCTTTCAAAATGACTAAAAAAATTTGTCATTTCCAATGCAGTTTGCAAATGTTCCTGTTATTGAAACTGATGAGTTTCTTTGCTAGTAAACAGAACAGTAGAAATAATGTGAGGCCAGCTGACCTTTCTCTGCTTGCATATCTCCTAGTGAAATTAACTTCCCCACTGAAGCCAAGACACTGATAGATAGCATGATAATGTGATTAACCAGAAATCAACACAGTATATATCATGTGTAGAGGTGTCTGAAGGGGGCAGAGTTATTCTTTCATATTTCTAAAGAGTGACCAAAGAACACGGACCTCTCTTGCATTCCGAAATGAACAATATCCAACTTGTTTAACTGCAAATGCAAAGTAATGCAAAATATGTAAAGACAACAGTGTTAACTGATGCAAAAAAGAAAGCAAGAAATATGAAAGTTAGCTTACATTACAGTGGGGAAAATATAATTTAATGTTCTGTCACTTCTCATTGATATTTATACTTTCAGCTCTTAAATACTTATTTCACTATTTAAAAAAAAAAAAGCCAAACCAACCAGCACCAAAATGTCAGTGAGCAGCAGCAAGAGCAGGGTGAAGGGAAGGCAGTCTGTGAGTTAATGGTAACAGCAAGTCGAGACAGCTTGTCACAGCTCATTCTCACACAACTTCACAGTGGCCTTTATTGGTAAGATTTGCCTTCAGGAATCCCAATCACCTGAAACCAGTAACAAAAGTCTGAAGCAGGGAAGACACGAGCTGTTAGAGGGGGATCAAGTTAGCAGCCATTTAAGCAGATTTGACACATGCCAGTCCCATGGGACCCAAGGATTTCTACCATAAGTGTTGAGGTAGCTGGCCAAAGTCATTGTGAGACCTATCTTGATTGTTTCAGAAAGGTCATGATGGTAGGAGGAGGCCTCTGAAGATAGGAGCGACATTTGATTTCTTCCAGTCCTCAAGAGCAAAAGAGACTATCGAAGGAACTACTGGTTCATCAGCTTCATCTTAAGCCTTGGGAAGGTGATTGAGGAAATAATTATATGAAGCATTGATAAATATCTAAGGGCAGGATGGTGATTTGAAGTAGTCTGCATGGATATACAAAGAGAAAATCATGCCTGACCAATGTGATAGCCTTCTACAACAAATGGACTACGTTATTAGATAAGGGAAGAGCAGTGAATATTACCTTGATTTACACAAGACTGTCAGTGTCTCCAGTTACATCTGACGATGCATGGACTAGAGAAGTAAACTGTGTGGTGGACTGAAAACTAGCAGACCTGCCAGGCCCAGAGGATTGCAGTCAGGGGCAGGAAATCCAGCTGGAGGGTGGTCACTAGTGGTGTATCTCAGGGGTTGATAATGGGGCTGTCCTTGGAGATACTCAACATGTGACTGAACACAGTCCTTATCAGCTGGCCCTAGCTGGGCCTATGTTGAGCAAAGGAGTTGTAGGCATCGGTGTCCAGAGGTGCTTTCCAACCTCAGGGATTCTGATTGTGTGATCCAGAGTTGCACAGTGTCATTATTGGTCTTGACTACAGGCAGCTAAACTCTGCCAAGTGTGTTTTCTTTTTTCCTATAGTGTGGGTTTTTCCTACTTAATATCTGTTCTTTCATAGACTACCACATGACTTTTGTTATGGTGCAGGGAAAGGTTTAATCTCAAAGTAGATTCTGAGCTTCAACATACCTACGGAACAGATGTTGGCATTTGTGCTTGAAACAGTTTTACTCCAATGCTGTTCATTAGATACCCCAACTGTTAAAAGCTACAGGACTATGACATAGGCTAAATATCTTTTCTTTGTCAGCTCTCAGTGTGTTATCCTCGTTTCATTTGTTCTTTTATCAGGAAAGTTGGCCAGTGGATACAGCCATAGAGAATGTATGGACAGAATCTGCCAGATAAATGTTTTCATTCTAATTAGCGACATAAAAGAATTATAGACCATGCCATGCTAATCGTTGTTATGAACTTCTTATTTAGGTTGAATTTGGTTGAAGCTTTTGTGGTGGATCCAGAACTCCGCCAGTGCCTTCAGGAAGATCTCTTGCGTCGCTTTCCAGATCTTAATCGGCTGGCAAAGAAATTTCAGAGACAAGCAGCAAACTTACAGGACTGTTACCGAATGTATCAGGCTATTAATCAACTGCCTAATGTTGTGCAAGCATTAGAAAAACATGAAGGTAATGCTACCCCTCTCTGTTTTCAATGTTTTCAATGTTTTATAATACACTGAGGATGCAAAGAAATAATGTGTAGATTTCCAAAGATTACTTTTTTCCTGTTTACTTTTGTTGCAGTAATAAAGCTTAAAGTAATTTGAATTTGAGCTGGAATTCTGAAAGGCCAGTCAGATACTTAAACATAGAACACTTTTTCATCTAAAGATTGGGCTAATTAGTGTGTAGTTGAAATACTTGAACTGTTGGGTGGTGGTCTGGTAGTCTTGGACATGAACTTGTCTCTTAAGAATTCTTGAACAATTGTATGTGTATTATGATCTTAAAAACAAGATACCATTAATACAATATTGTGTTCCTTTTAGAAGACACCTAGAAGTTAGAGTTGTAATTAAACTCACACAAAAAATAAGTTTAAACATCGTTGGCATAATTTGAATGGCTTTTTTTAATTGCAATGCTCTTGTATTTGACAAGCGTAACATGGCAGGGTTTCTTATGAGCTTCATTAGTAGGAAGCTCAATGTTGTGACAAACAAGTCTAGAAAATACAAAGATTGCTGTTTCTTTTTCTTTTCTATGTGTTACCAAAAAAATACAGGATAAGATACTGTCAGCATAACAAGGGTGATTTGGTACAGCAGTAGGAGTCCTACCATCACAGAAAGTGTATTTTTGTGGAAGCCCATTAATTTGTTTGAAAAAGTCTTTGCATAAAACAAACACCAAAGCCCTAAAGAGGCATTTTTTGAAATGGTATGGTTACAAAAATTTCTTTCCTGTCTTTGAATAGACAGTAATATTACCCAGTTTTACACTTTTCTGTGCTATAGTTTTATGACTACAAGAAATGAAACTTATCTTCTAAAAAATTAATCTTAGAATAAATTAATTTTTAGTTGCTGGCTTTCTGTGACGGTGCTTTTATTTCCAAAAGCAGTTAAGATCTAAAACTGGGAACCGGCAGTTACAACAAAATTTTACTATTTATTTTTCATAAAAAGCTGTGCCATGTGTTAGTTGCCTCAGTCATGTCCCTCTGGCTTTTCCAGATAGTCTCTGCTTGATTTTACCTTGGCATGGAGCTCTTGGTTTTCAATCTTAACCTGAGGTATTAGTTCAAAATTCTTGTTTACTGTATTTACTTCTCTTTCTATTAGTTGTTGTTTGGATCAACAGAGTTTGTCAGTCATAAGCCTGGGGTAGAAAAGCAATTCCGTTTTTAGAATTTTGAAACGTAAGCTGTGTAAGGCAAACTGCTAAGTTCACCATATGGAAAAAAAAATAATAGACTGCAAAAGGTTCTTGCTGTTTTACATGTGAATCAGTTAGCCTTAGGAGGGCATTCATCAGCAGTATATCTAAGATAACTTAAAATAGGTTAAATGTGTTATTTTTCTTGGTACTTGTATGCCCTTGTTTGAAATACAAGAATGGTCTGATAATTTTGAATGTATGTGACCGATTCAGATTTTTTCTGTTTAAAAATGTACAAAATTTTTAAACTTATCAAGATATTAAAAATCAGAAGGATTTTTTGACAGTTCTGAATATCAGACCTTTCTTTACTTGTGAATGGCTGTGCAGAGAGAGAGCAACTACACCATGAAGTGATCAGCCTTTCCCTCAGCAAGAAGCATTGCTTTCTTGACATGCTTATTTTTATGGATGATGAAAGCTGAGGAGAGGGGTAATGAATGAAGATGACTTTTTTTTTTTTTTTAAATGGTTTTAGACATGAGAAACCTGCACAAGACAGAAAGGAATCTGAATCACAAAATCATTTTGCTGTTGGTGGCAAAAGGGAGCAGTTGTTCATTACTCAAATTACTGGTACTTAGAAGATGTCTGTCTTCAAGAAGCTGCTGAAGTATTTTCCTTCCCAGCTCAGACTGACACTATTTTAAGGCTGTAAATATGTAGGATACAGGAATTGTATGCTGGATCCATGTTTATTTTTACCATATTGTATACAGTGGTTTGACTGTCCCCTTGCTGCTTTTGGAAGTACCTCTTAACTGCATGTTCCAGTACTGCCCTTCCCATGACTATGCTCTGGTGTGTTATAATGGTGTTGTGATAGAGCTTGGCTGTTTCCCATCCCTTGTAATTTCCAGCTGATTATTCCCCTACTCACAGTGGAAATTTGTTTATCTGTTGGTGCATCATCTCGCTGTTAAATTTTACTTTATTTTTATTAGCCCAGTTTTCAAGGTCAGTCGTTATGTTCCTGGTTTATTCTGTTCCAATCCCCCACACGATATTAGTGAGTTTTATAGGCAGCCTTCTTTTGTGCTGTAGTATTATTAATTCACACATCTTAAAAAGATAAATGCTTCTATGAGGTCTGGAGGAACTGTATTGCTGATGTCCTTCCAGCCTATTCATCTTTTGCAAGTCAGTGATGTCCTCTTTATCTGCCTTGTGATCACTGTATTAATCATGAATCCTGCATCTTAGCAGGGGCACTGTGTTGGGACACTATTGAATGTT